GTCACGTCAAGCCCTGTGCATGGCGAATATTTTTGCACATTTCTATTATTGGGTATTTGGTCGTTTAAACTTTCAGTGTATAAATTATGAATGTATCTAATTGCCTAGAGTCCTATGCCAGAAGGCGGTGGCTCATGGGCCAATCTGGTGATATAGACCTCTGAATTCCGTTTTCTTTAGAAAAACGTCATGGGCCGAACCAGCCTGGCACTTATTCTTTAAGATACCATGGCTTTTCAAGTCTGTATTTTCTGGAGTATGGCATCCCTGTAACCCTGGTATTGCTGTCTGGTTTCCACTGCGCTACCGTCCTTGTTGACACTCGATGGCGGGTGGGGGGCAGGGCTGCTGAATTATATTATTACACCATGGCTAAAAACACTCAATCTGGTTCATCAAAGACAAATAAGCGGAGACATCTTTCTTCATCATCTGACGAAGAAGTATCCCCTTTCATGAAAGATTCTTGGCCACGATTTTTGGTTATTTCTACTGATGATGGAAGTCCATTGAATATTAATCCTTTTGCCGTCTCCAAGGGCATCCAAGGTGTCTGCGGAGAGGTAAAGAATGTCACTCGCCTCAGAATCGGTTCACTTTTGGTGGAATGTATACGGCGACAGCAATCTGGCAATCTGCTGGGATTGCAGCAGTTTGTGAATAAACAGGTTGTTGTCTCGGTTCACAAGACGCTGAACACTTGTAGAGGTATTGTTAGAGACAGGTCGCGTTGTTTATCAGACATGTCTGAAGAAGATATTGTGGCAGAGTTGACGGATCAAGGTGTTATTTCTGTGAAGCGTTTCACCCGGAAACAGGATTCAAACGTGATAAAAACAAAGACTTACCTCTTCACTTTTGGTCTAACTATGCTTCCTCAATCTATTAAGGCTGGATACTGTAATATCGGAGTGGAGGTATATGTACCAAATCCATTCCGGTGTTATAAGTGCCAAAAGTTTGGCCATGGTGCAAGATGATGTACTGGCAAGTCTATCTGCTCACGCTGCAGTGGAACCCATGACAGTACCGATTGCACTGGTAACATGAAGTGCGCAAATTGCAGTGGTGAGCATCTGGCTTCGTCTAAATCTTGCCCAAAGTTTGAATATGAAAACCAAATTCTTAAAATCAAATGCATGAATAACATCTCGTACTTTGAGGCAAAGAAATTAGTTAACGCTCAGTCAAAATCTTCTCTTGGTCAAACATATTCGGCCACAGTTTCTTCTTCTGTTTCGCCATCTATTAAAAGAACAGTTTCAACTTCCTGTCAGACTGACTTATCCTGGGTAAATGCAACTCAGATGAACTTGAGTGACAATACTTCAATATCACAAGATTGTCAGCGCTCATCAGCATCCCAGACTGAGAAATCACAGCCAGATGATATTAATTCAACACAGGCAACAGAGAGCGTTGTCCACCTGTCGAATAAGGAAAAGAATAAATTGAGAAGAAAGACCAGAGCTCTTCAACATTTGGAAGATTCTCCTTCGTCGACACCTCCTGTGACGGCTCAAAATCCATTTGAACCACTTGATATGGAGATCACTCACTCACAAACAGGGTGTAGGAGTTGCACTTCCATGCGTTCACGATCTCCAGTTGAACCTCCTTAAATTTGTTTTATGAAATTACTACAATGGAATTGCAGAGGCCTTAGGAACAATTTTAATGACCTACAATTACTATCGCAAGATATTAAACCATCGGCTTTTAGTTTACAAGAGACATTCCTGAAAAGTACTGATAAATTTGAATTGCGTCAATACAATTCCTTTCATTCATTCTCCCCTCCAGGTGATAAAGCAACTGGCGGCGCTTCTATTCTAGTGAGGCAGGGTGTTATCCATAGCCCGGTTACCCTAAAAAGCAATCTTCAAGCTGTTGCTGTCCGTCTTACTTTACAGATAACCTTTACACTTTGTTCTTTATATATTTCTCCTTCTCAACTCTTCAGCAGTCTGACCTCCAGGATCTTTTTGAACAGCTTCCTCAACCATTTCTAATCATGGGTGATCTTAACGGACATAACCCTTTGTGGGGAAGTACCGATACCAATAATAAAGGAAAAAATCTTGAGGACTTAATTTCAAACAATAATTTATGCATATTTAATGATGGATCTGTCACATATTTACACCCTGGTTCGGGAACTTATTCTGCACTCGATCTGTCGCTCACAGATCCAAGTATTTATAACGAATTCGACTGGTCAGTTCATGATGACCTTTGTGGAAGTGACCATTTTCCCGCAATACTTTCAGCTATAATCCCGACTGATGACCCACCTGCAACAAGGTGGAATTTTAATAAGGCCAACTGGCCATTATTTCAGACACTATGTGCTGACAACTTGAAATCAGAATTGTTTGTCAATGCTCCAGATTCGATTCAGCTGTTCTCTGATAAACTAAATAATATTGCCGATGAAACTATTCCTAAGGCTTCTGCTAAGCCACACATTCGTAAACCATGGTTTACTGACGATTGTAAACAAGCTAGGAAGTGTAGGAAGAAGGCAGAGAAATGCTTTCGCCGCCATCCTACAGTCCACAATTTCAATACTTTAAAAATGAATAATGCCAAGGCTCGACGTACTTTTAAACAAAGTAAAAGCTAATAATAAAATATACTTAAATATTACTAATTAGCAAAGATGAAATGAGAATGAACATTCATTTAAAAAACATTATCTGCACTTGAACTTGGTCAACCACGAGCCTTCTGCACTCCCGAGTATCAGCTGCAGCCTTCCTCTTCCTCTTTTGGTTGGGTTTAGGCAGAAGAGGGGTATGATCAATGTCACCATCCATGTCTTGAAATCATATTAACATTTGTGAGAAAGATAAAATAATAACATGCTTCCATAAGAAACTATATTTACATAAACCGTGCTGAGAATCTGCTGAGATTGTCAACAAGTGTAATACTGTAGCAATCAACAGTTGCAAGGAATTTTTTGTAAAACAAATATTCAGAAACTATATTTTTTCGTAAAAACCAAAAAGATAATTCAAATACTATTTTGTCATTGTGGTCAACGAATTTCTAATCTTCAACTGACATGATGCTTTACGTTTTGGTGAGATTATACGAAGAATAAATTTGTGTGCGTGCATAATCTTGCGTAATCATTTAGTGAAGACAAATACATATATAAATATTAAAATATATGCAAGTAACAACATATAACGTACGTCACGTGCCATGTTAAGATGAAGGACAATAGCCATTCTGCTGTGCTATGTAATGCTTCAATGCTAGCTGACTATTTCCCTATTACACTAATTGACTTACACTTATTGACATACCATCTATAATATATATTTCTTTTAAGTTCCCTTCTTCCATTATTGCACACAGATAAAGCTCAAAACACATTGAACGATCTGAGAATTTCCACAGAGAATTACACATGGAACACTTCAGCTGTTCTCTTCATTATATACTAAGCAGCAAAGGGATAATTGTAAACTCATTTCATGTTTTGATTGTATATTTTTGACTTTACCCGAGCAAAGACATTCCTTCCTAAACTCAGAATGGAACCCAGGAAATGGTCTCAATAACGCAGCCTGATCTCGGAGATGGTACGGTGTTATCCATGTTTTTCATTCAACTCATGATACATGTGCTGTTCACAAGTACCAGCCCTATAAAATGCACCCCCAAACCTGGTTGAAACATTCACATTACAACGTCAGCAGGATGCCCCAGCTCAGAGGAACCAGGCGCTAAGAAGACTTGAAGCTGGCCACACTACACAAGCCCTTGCCAATCCCTTCCAGGTTAACGTTCTGACAATCTACATGCTGCAGCAACGTTTCCGGGCCACCAACACCACTAATGATCGCCCCGTACTGGCAGACCAAGGGTGACCACATAGCGACAAGACCGCCATGTTGTGCGACAGCATGTACAGAATCCCTTCATGCAGACATCCGAAATAGCACGCCAGACAGTGGGAACACACGGAAGACCAATCAGTACTGATACAGTATGCCGACATCTTAACAGCGGGAACCTCCATTGCCGTAGACCTTACCGTGAACCTATCCTCACCCCTCGTCATTGGAGTGAACATCTACAGTTTGCCCTACAACACCAAAACTGGCGATACACTGAACCAGAGAGTGGGTCCTGTTGTGTTCCAGAACCTTGGTCCAGGGAGAGGAGGCGGCATCACAACAGTGGCCTACATCGACCAAGCTCTCATACCACATTTCGCACGTCACCGGAACAACATTTTCCAGCATGATAACGCCCGGGCCCATACTGCCAGAGCTACACGGGACTTCCTACAGCAGAACGGTGTCAACATTATGCAGGAAGCAGCCCTTAGTCCTGATTTAAACCAAGTTGAACATCTTTGGGATGAAATTCAGAGGAGACTGAATAATGTCATAACAAGGCACAGCCGATTTATTGCGCCATGCCTTTCTCATAGTGTGGTACAAGGTGCCAATGGCCTTCATCAATCGATTGGTGCACTCCATGCATAGACGATGTGCTGCAGTTATTGCCGCTCGTGGTGGTCACACTACTGAGGTCAAGAGTCTGATTGGACTGCAAGCGTTCACGTAATGTCTTGGAATTGTGCTGAGGTATTCATTGATGTGTCAAGATGTTGTACACAAAAAATGTTGTTGATCCGCTTATTATGTCCATTTCGGTAATGATTTGATTACAGTGCCTATCTAATTTTGAATTCGTACTGACGTTTGTTTTGCTACTGAGTATATATACATGACTCAAAAGACACCAGTGTGCCTCTATTGTTTGTGTAGACATCTTTGAACATACTACGAAAGCAGATATTGATTCAGTCTGTTTTCTTTGCATAAATGATGACAGTTGGGTGGTGTTGTGCAGTGCTAGCTGAACAAACACTTCTTGCGAATATACCACCAGATCAATTCTTTCGTTTTGAGTTTTAAAATCTCCATACAAGAGATACGGATCACAACATTAGTCACATACAGGAATAGTGTAACTTTGGATATTCATACTTTCTATAGTGTGGCTGGTTCTCATCCCGTTGAAGGACTGTTCCCCTGAAAGAGTTCTCTGTCAGCTGAATCTGTATTACCAAAGAATGCTGAGTCGCAACATGAAGATGCTATCTCTCTCCTGTCTGCTCTTCAGGTGTATCTACTTCATTGGTCTCACTGTGTTTTCTTCTATCACAGCCGCTGAGACCTACACCTTTCTGAATGCGCGACGCCTTATGGAGTATGACAATAGGAAGATTGTAGAGTCAGAAATACACACCTTCACAGTTAGGAGCATGATCGACTGTACTCGTGCATGTTCGGAAGAGACGTACTGCACAAGTTTTCAATTCTTCTCCGGCGGGCCAACCTGTGTCACTCTCAGCGAACGTTTCAGAGGAGTCACTGCGAAGACGATTGCTGCCCCTGGGTATCAGCTCTTCCAAACTGACAAACGTAAGTATATTGTGTGACGATGTTCCGAAATCTTAAAACGGCCATGTGCCCATTTACTGTGATAATTCTTTCGACACATTGCATGCATGTCACTCAGTTTATCACTGTGTGCCGTAATCGGAGGTTATATAACAGTCGCTAACGTCCTGGCTTAGATTTTCGAAGCTCTCTTAGCGCTTAGATACTCGTAAGTTACATACATTAACATTAAATTACGACTATCTTTGCGCTACGAGAGCTTCGAAAATCTAAGCCCAGATTTGAACCAATATCAGTGATATCAAAGAATCATCTTGGTTCAATGCCATTACATTGCCCATGTCAGTATTATTAAAGAGTGAGTGAGTTTAGTTTTGACGCCGCTTTCAGTAATATTCCAGCAATATCACGGCGGGGGACACCAGAAATGGGCTTCACACAATGTGCTGATGTGGGGATTCGAAACCGGGTCTTTGGCGTGACGACTGACTGACTGACTGAGTTTGGTTTTACGCCGCTTTTAGCAATATTCCAGCAACATCACGGAGGGGACACCAGAAATGGGCTTCACACATTGTGCCCATGTGGGGATTCGAACCCGGGTCTTCGGCGTGACGAGCCAACGCTTTAACCATTAGGCTACCCCATCGCCCCGTTATTAAAGAGGAGTCATTCGTGGTGGGTAACGCTAATAGCTCTTTCCTCGTGTGGACCGATGCAGAATGTGTCCACAGCATCAATTGCTGGTCGTAAAAGGTCCTGAAGAGCAGCCTCCTCGTGGTTGGTGCTGGGTAACGCTAATAACGTCCGCATTGGAACCAATATCAGTGAGCGCCACAGAGAACCAGATTGGTTTAATGCCACTTCGAGGACTGGCATGCTGCTGACCAGTATAGGGTGATAAGGACCAATGTGGATGCAAGTGTTTTCTTGTATCTTGAAACAAATCTATCTCATTTATAGAAAGTTCTATTTACACGCATGGTTTCCGCAGACATTACAACATTTTATACACGTTATAGATTTACATGATTGTGGATTGTGAGGCCATTTCCTCAATTCATATCCATGATTTCAAATACGCGTGGGTTCTGCCCAGTCTGATTATTTTAATTAGGGTTAGAGGCAGTGATTTTTCTGTTACTTCATTCATCATTAAAATGAATAACACGTCACAATTTAATTCTGGAAACCCAAAAGTCCAGAAAATCCATGAATATATGCTAAGGATGAAAACAATTGTTCGAAAACTTAGTTTGATAACTACCTCGCCCATGTTTACGTTTGCAAAACAATTCATGTTTGGAGGTTGTAAATGAATGAAAGTATGTTTATAAGTATCATGACACAAAATGTATTATGCGTTATTCGTTTTAATACATGTCAGTCCACAATGGGGAAAACATTTTGACCCCCTAGCGAGCAAAACTTAATTTCAAAATTCATTTGTTTTGGTTTGCTGGAAAAAAACTATACACTCTTCAAATGACGGAACGGACAAGGCATTTTTAGAATATTTTTTTGCATCAGTTTAAGAGCAATTATTTCACGTAATTTCAATGTTCAAAAGGTGAAAGTTTACACGTCTCTAGACAAAGAGTTCGTCAACACAACAGCAGCCCTTATTGTTGTGTTTATTGGAGTCCAGAAGATGGTGTCTAAGTCAGTCCGAAGTCGCTCTAGCAGAATTCTTCCTACAATGCGATGGCCAGTTCTGGAAGTGTCTGAGGAGTGTTTTGACTTCGATGTACGCATCGATTGAGTTCGACAGCAGACGTGACGCGTGCTTTATGTGAAGTAGTGTTGTCATGCTCCCTCTGCCGGTCCATAATCGGAAGCATGTGACGTGTCAAATTCCCCTGACCCACCACTAAGTCAGATCTTTAGTGTACTGGATATCGCGCCCCACACGTTGACACTCTTGCCCCCGAATCTGTCGACCTGTCGAATGCAATTAGGGGCAAAGTGTAAACATGCTGTCGTCCACCTCGCCAGTGAAGACGAAATCGTGATGTATCACTGAACCAGACTCCACTGCAGTTTCTAAGGTTCCAGTTCCGGACACTACGACACCACTTCAAACGACTTTGCGATGGAAGTCTCTCAAATCATGGGCGAAAACTGTCCTTCACGATCGAATCCCCACTTCACACAATCGATTCCTGACAGTTGGGTGTGAAGTTTTCCTCAAATCAGGTTTGTGTTCTGCAGTCCTCATGACTGGCACACGTGAGCAACACAGATGTAGCGGTCCTTGTCTTGGGTGGTAACATTTTAACGGCAGCTCCTCGGGCGATCTTATGTACCCTGTGAGGGGGACACTAATTTTACAGTTCTTCAATCGTCATCGATGGCACAGCCAGAATCAATCTCTGTTTATAATTATTTCCTACCAAATTATTTAAAAAAACCCATTTCTATGTACGTCACAATTTATGAATCAAAGTTATTTCTTTTTAAAAATCCAAAATATAATGAGGTGAGTAGAGGTGAAATTGGGTTTTACGTCATGCTTGAGAACATTTCGCTCATATGACGACGTGCATGCGTGTGTATGTGTATGTACGGCTGCTTGTACTAGCCCAGACTTAAGCTGGTTTTATAGTGCTAGCCCACTGAGATACCATGCCGCGGTGAAGCATGAATACCCCACTCGGACACATGAGACTGAATCTGAGCCGACCAGTCCTTGTTGTACCCATTAATGCCGAATGCCAGGCAGGGGAAAATAAGTACCATATTTTAACGTCTTTTGGTATGACGCAGTTGGGTATCGAACCTGCGACCTTCCGCTCTCCAGGCAGACGCTCTGACCACTACACCACGGAGGCGGTCCTTAGTTTGAGACAGACTCTGATCAGTTTCGACGAGGTAAATTCATTGACACAAATGCCTTTGTGAAGGACTTTTTGACCCACAGTATCCGAGTGTGTGGCAACAAAAATATATCTCATGCATTATAAAAGCAGCCTGACTTAAATGTTGGACACAGCTTATAAAGATATACCTGAGCAATGAATGCTTCAACGAAATAGACTCTAGAGTAACAGCATATTTGGAATACTACCTATCGTGCGCCTATGACGCAGTGGTATAGAAATTCATAAAAACGTATGAGAGGGAGACAGAGCATGATTTCGATGCACGTTGTCAGACGTCTATGAAAGCGATAGACGAAGATGCGGTAATTCTGAAGTGACGTCAGTACGTGGATGGTGATCCGTATCTATGCGTCATCTCTCCATTATATTTTCTGAAATATCAAAGTAGAGACTACCGAGAAATCAGTGTCAAAACCGACCAGTGGATGAACCATATCAAACGGACAGTTAAACGTTGGTGTGGGAAAGTATAGTCATGCAGGTTGATTATCAACAGGAATACTATGATCCTAGGAAAAAAGGCGCTTTCGGGTAAAAGATTTTTTTTACCCCGCTCTGAAGCGTCGTAACCCTAACGTCTCTTCTCATGGCGTACGAAGATGGATGAGAGCGCAAGACGCCTACAACCTACATCGTTTACCCAACAAACGATTTTCAAGAAATAAAGTCATCGTGGGAGGAATCTACGTACAAGCAGAAGGAGACTTGTAGGCAAGCGCAAGACAACGACGGAAATAAGTATATTCTCATCGTAATCGACTGCTTTTCGAGATATATCTTGGTCCAACCTATGGAAACTAAAGAATCAAACACGACCGCCAAAGCGATGAGGGAACTATTGTCATCCATGGAGAAACCGCCATACAGTCTAAGAATGGACAAAGGAACAGAATTTAATAATCAAACAGTGTGACAGATTTACACTCTATTTAACGTCAAACATTTTGTTACGTAAAACTCAGACATTAAAGCAAACTACGCCAAACGTTTCATTCGTACTTTGATATCTATGACGTATCGATTCCTCACGTACAGTCATACCCATAGGTACATCGACGTATGACAAGACCTTGTTTATAACTACAACCATCACCCGCACAGGAGCCTGAGAGGAAGAGCACCCGTGGAAGTGAAACCATCAAACAAAGCTAGCATATGGTTGGATATATACGCGGACAAAGCGAAAAACAAAACTCTATGAAACAACAACTTTGCATTTAAAGTAGGAGACAACGTCAGAGTATCATTGGTCAAGAGAACGTTCGAGAAGGAATACGAACAGAAATGGTCGGAAGAAGTATTTATGATGTCAGCGTCATTGGCTAGAAGACCTCCAATCCGATCCCATTTAAGGATTCTTTTATCGAAACGAGTTGAATAAATATCCTCACGATCCCAACGAAGTGAATTGGCGAGTTGAACAAATACTCAAAACGAAATGTGTTGGTAAGAAAGGAAATAAGAAAAGGACCAAACATGTTTTATTGAAGTGGTTCGGATATCCAAAGAAATTCAATTCATGGATCGACGCTGACCAAATCAAGAACGTACATGCGTTGAGAGAATGACATGACGTCAACGGAATTGATTGTGACTAAAAGCGACAACAGCGTTGAGTATTTTCCTGAAAATAAACCTTATAAATTTTCCATCTACCTGAAACAACCACTCAGACTTATCTGACATTGGACCATATCGCTACGAGAAGTATACCCCAGAAAGAAAGAACGCCAATGAGAAAAGATATGTTTTGAATGGAATGTTGTATATATTCTGTTCCATTTGCGAACCGATCATAGTACACGGCCAACGTCAACCCCTGTTGAGACGAGTGCAACAGTCAACAGCATCGACGTGGAAGGCTACGTTCTCTCCCTATTTTCACCAAAACAATAACTCCAGAAACAATGTCACGACCATGTCACCAGTTTCCGCATCAAATCTGATGATCATCAACTCACCACGTGACATGTCAACTCTCCCGAAGCCGCGTGTCGAACGAGTGGTATATGTCGCAAGGGATATAAATCTCCTGAGTCTGGTAGAACAGGCAGTAGAACAAGCCAAGTTGGAGATCAAAGACACCGTGTCCAAGACAGCCATAAACGAAGGTATGAGGATTAAAAAATAAAGTCGCAA